CTTAGGCTACACCTGATCCGGACGCCTTGTGTGATTGTTATTTACTCCAACTGATCTGTGCTTTACACCCAAAGGGATCTCCATCCGAACCATGAAATACCTGCGACCTTACAATGGCTTTGTTTGATATCAGCGAATTCTCCAGACCCAAAACAAAAAACCCCGCTGCCCACAGAATTGCACATCTCAGCCCAAGCACCTCAAATATGACGTTTGTCAAGGGGTTGTCCGGAAGCCGAAGAATGTCACAATCGAATGTCACTGTCAAACCAAGTTTGATAGTATACCCACAACCATTCACTTCATGCTTTGACGACGCCCTCGCCCGCTCCTGTCTCTACCTGCAACCGCAAACAAACTGTTCACCTGGTCTCAGCCGCCTCGAGACCAGTTTATTTTAACCTAATGAACCTCCTGTTTCTGATCTAAACTTCTCGTTGAATTCCATTCTATGCTTCTTCCAAAGTCGGTAATTTTCTGTACAGTTTGCGCTCCGTCTTCCTCGTTAACACGAAAAGTCCCATCCTCCAGGGATTTGTGCTCCAGACCCAACTCCAGCAGGGACATTATTCAGTCTCCACAGTTTCAATGTACACCGTGCCTATGAGGTTCCCACCACCATTCATCCGTATGACTGATTCATCTGCTTCGCCATTCTCACATTCGCCTCTTATGACCCTGGCTATAAGGCAAAAACTCCAAGGCCGAATAATGCTCGTCGGTGGTTTTAGACTTTAGTTCACGTTGACCGGCCAGATCGTCACATTCAAACCTTAACTCTAAGTAGCTGTACCTCCTTCTTCGTGCCCGTCCAGGCGTGATCAAGTCTGCTCAGATTACTGCCCACTGTTTGCGACATTGCCCTATTCCTCGCCCAACCCCCGCGAATCCTCCGTTGTGCTCCATACTGACCATAACCCTATGATCATGCCCGACGGTATGTCACCCACTGGCTGGGAACAAACATTATTATTTACTTGGCTTGACTATTTACTTGCCCAGTTTTTACCTCCACATGGTTTTGTGTAGTCCAAACGATTCCTTAGTTGCGCTTGGGCCCGGCTCTACTCGAGTTGATAATCTTTTCCGACAAAGAATCAAGGAGAAGCACAAAATTTTGCCAACTTTTTTCTCATGTGGCATTCTTTGAGAGGATTTTTAGAAGCCGAATTATGGAGGCTTAAGTCAGAGAGTACCATGCGATATTCTGTCAACACTTAAAACAAAAATATAAACAAGCTGCTGGCTTGGACGCGACTTCCACCGACGAGTTCTTTGTTTATATTCAGTGAGCCATCCCCGCAAATCTTGCTTCAGTTTTAGCTTGTTCTGGTCATATGTTCACCAGGGGTCTTTATATTGTCCGCTCTGCTTTGCGCGTGGGCCACAACGCGCCCTTTACCAAAGACTTCTCTGAGATGGAAACAAGTGGAACATGTCGCCCTTTGGCCCCAATATCAGCAATTCCACCACACAGTTGAAACTCGCACATTCCATTGCGCTCACCAAGCGAGACTTTTGAAAAATTTATGCCCTCATCAGCTTTAGCCCTAGTCGGTCAGTTTTTCATCAATAAATATCCTGTGCCTTAGTGGTTTTACAATTTGGAATATAATTTTCACAAATAAGATTTCTCACCACGTCATATATGACTTTCCTCGTTTTATCGCAATGACCTGATCCTACTAAAATCGCTATCAACACCATTAACATAATGGCATTAGCGTTCATTAGTGGTGCTCCACTGCTGTATAACCAAGCTTTATTTAAAAGCTTTATTATGAAGAACCAGTAATGGTAGATAGTGAAGGGATATGGAGTCAGCTCACTACGATCACCACAAGATGCTTCTAATTTCAGACACACATTCAGATAGGTTGGATCGAAACTGATAACAAGAATGACACTGATATCAATTAATGCCCGTACCTTGCAGGGTCTTGAACTAGGCGCACTGAGGATCGTGATGCGAGCGGAACCGACTGTACCCACACGATTCGTGATATGTTTTGTACCTCCCTTCGAGATCGACAGAGAGCCACCGCTTACCCGCTACTATTAATTAGGCACGAAAACAGCACTATCGTCGGAAACGACCAATGTCCATCCCAGCTAATGCAGCTTCTGCTGCTGTACGCGTTTTCATTAGAAACTCCAGTTACATGACAGAAAACTCGCATTCTGGTTGCTTCGTTAGCTACCTATGGTCCTGATAGAACAGCTGTCGGACACCATAAGACGCCTAAGTTTTGCCGCTTCAACGGGCAGAGTATCACAGGATCTTGCCTCATATGCCATCATACCAGGCCCTTTTGAAGCACTCTAGAAACGTTCGATGACCCATAGAATCAAATCCCACGGGATTCAGGAGGGAGATTCTAGGTGCTTTATTTCAACTGAATATTTTGAGTGAAAGTTTAGTTCAACCTTCTTCTGCGTCGGCCCTGAATGGACCCTCTCAAGCACGGATTCACGGATCGAGGCTAAAGCCCAAGCTTCCCGGTCGCTCTTGTTCTTGTTGGTCAGTGGCTGTCGTTCACATGAAAGTCACAAGTGAAAAAAGGGTGTAGCACTGCTCTTTATTTTCCCAGCGCGGGGCAGTATGCTCGCCAGCGCGGAGATTCGCATACACAAGTGTCTAATAGCTCATTAAACTGTGCTCTAGAAGGAGCGTGAACAACCGCCGGAGGAAGGTTATTCCGCGCACCTACTGCCCGAAATGAGAAAAAATTTTGTCTAATGAATGTGTGTGCCCTGAACTTGAAAATGTTCTTACTATGTCCCCGCCGGGTGTTTGCTTGTTCAACGGTAAGAAACCTGTTTGCCAAGCTTCGTTCAAACAGGACATAAGTAAGAATTAGGTCCCCTCGGAGGCGACGGTACTCCAGGGGAAAGAGATAGAGCATCGCGAGACGCGTGTCGTAGCCCACGGATTTGAGGCCGGTAACCATTCTCGTAGCGGCCCGCTGGACATGCTCAATNGACGCGCTAAATGAGGGTGACGTCTTTCTGCGTCCTGAGTAGACAACCTGGTTGGCGTATTCCAGGAGCGGTCTGAGGTAGGCCCCATAAAGAGTTTGGAAGTCCATGTGAGTAACACGGGAGAAGGTGCGTCGGATCATCCGTAAAATGATGAATGCCTTTTGGGCCGATTTCGCATGGTGCAGTGAGAAGGAAAAGTTTGAGGAGACCCAGATGCCTAAATCCCTTTTGGCATCTATCTTTGTGATGTTTGCTGATCCTTTCTCATCATGCATAACAAAGGCATTCACAGAGTCTCCTCCAAACGACATATGGACGCACTTTTCGTCATTCAGAGGAAGGTGCCAGTCCAACGACCACTGCTTGGCAGCGTCTACATCCATTTGGAGGGCACTGGCATTAGAAATCCAGGATTTCATGTCGTCCGCAAAAGGTAGAGGTGGACTTGCAAGAACATCTGGGAGGTCTTTGACGTAGATCAGAGACAACACTGGTCCCAGGAGGGAGTCTTGAGGAACTCCGATGGAGACCGGCGCCGGAGAAGAGTAGGTCGAGCCTATTCTCACACGGAATGATCAGTCTGATAGGAACGCCTTGATCCAGCGAAGGATCTTCCCTTGAATCCCGTATGAAGCGATTTTGTGGAGCAGCGGGGCGTGTGGGACCCTATCAAATGCTTTTGAGAAGTCGAAAAATATGGCATCCGATGAGTCCTTCGTCCTCGGCTTGGGTTAAGCTGTCCATAAACACGAGCATGTTTGTCATGCAAGAGCGGTGTGGGAGAAATCCCTGTTGAGCTGAAGATATCAGGTTACTGGAAGTAAGGTGATATGGGATAGCTCGTTTCAGAATGCGTTCCATCACCTTACATGGCACGCCAACGAGGCTCATAGGTCTGTAGCTGCCAGGCAACAGTCGGTTCGGTCGGTCACCAGTTTTGAAGATTAGCGTGACACCCCATCTATGTCCTCACCTGTTTTTCGGCTTATGCCGGCGACTTTCTCCACGCATTCCAAAGTACATGTACTCCTCTTCCGGACTGTTCGTCCTCTAAAGCTTCAGAACTGGAATACTCCGAATTAAACGGAGTGGCGAAACAGTGAATTAGCAGGTCCCTCCAAACAACAATATGTCCACGTAGCCCTGGAGGGACTCGGTGGGTGCCCTGTCATGCATATTTATAGCAGACTACAAGACTGTGAAACATTCAGAAAGAATTTGATTGTCTGAGTGATTTTGAGCATGTATCTCCTAATGCGTCACGGAAGGCCGCCCCAAAAAGCGTTTTTAGTTCATCGGATGATTCAGGGCACCACACTTCATGTTGGCCGCATGAACCTTCAGACACTCCATGGGGACTACGTCAGACCACTCATTTACTTCACTAACCGAGCTTCTTACTCGGAGCACCAGAAAAGCCCAACTTTCAACGGGTATGTTCGTCTATCTAATATCGCGCCAGATCCTCTGACTAGGAAAAAGTTTGGCGATGACCGATCTGTTTTCCCCAGAGCTCCAGGGCCTCCAGTTGACCCAACACTTACGCCACATGGATACTCGGCAAGGAAAGGGTAAGAAGCTTTTCGGGATTATATTGTGCGCTTTAATCAGACGACAACTTTTCTCACTCCCTTTGGTTGCCGCTGAGAACAACCTTCCCAAAGTCTTTCACGCCCCGTCTAGGGGCCAGTGCAAAGCAGTTTTGAATGTTCTTCTGTGCGCCATCGTGCCAATAAGCTTACTGCCACCCAGGTGAGCCAAACCCGCGGAACCACAAGAGCAAATTTGATCTACGGAGTTTCGATAAGCGTCTCGTTTTTGTTAGTCAAGCCGTGAGAACCATATTAATCTGAGTCCAAACGCGATACCCGACAGTTCGAGCCTATGAGTCTTCGCCTTCCTTCTTATTATCGTTGATGAGCATCTGTGGAAATTGTGTGCTTGCCTGGTCACCTTCTCGACATTATTGGATGCCTAGCCCATCTTGTAATGACTGGTGATTGACCAATCGGGGTGGGAATTTCTGCTGAGCCGCCGGCTGAGAGCCAGTCGCGTCACGTCGTTTGGGGTCGGATGATTCAGTGTAGCTGGGATGAACTCCGCCGCCAAGCCAAAGCGCTCGAGAACGAGTTAGATGGGAAGCTAGCCGCTTTTGGCACATTATCTTTGAGACCTGATTCTGTTGGCTCATCGGCCCACAAGACTTCCCAGGGTTCGTCCCATTTTATTGTATCGGGACTCAATACACAGGATGGAAGTTTCAAAATTCCGAACACCCGAGAAGAAAGCTTGGAGTCTCATACCAGGATGGCGAGCGATATTGAACAGTTACTTCAGAGGTATGCTCCGGGCGATATTTTTTCTGAAAACTCTTGGCGATTTACTTTTATTAAAGCTATGCAATGCCCAAATACAGCAGATAGTTTTGCCCTCCGTTTTTAATTTTAATAACAGTGGTTTCACTCAGTTTCATGTCCCGCCAAATTTCACTTTTATCCATGACAGAGCGTCAGATTGTCTCTGGATGGACGACAGCTCAGAAACTTGGACAACGTTCATCTGGTGTCTACTTTCATGCGGTGCTCAGGTTTACCGTAGCCCAGAGGCAAACGTTGGCTAAATAGAATTTAGTGCATTGAAACTGGGTGGATTCTTGAGCACTGTCTTGAAAGGTATTTTCAATCTTCAATACCACGGCATCGCGTTAGTGAAGAGGCCTTGGTTGGCAGTCAGTACAACCTGGCGAAGACAACACGAGAGAGCAGCTTTCATGCTAGAGAGAACATATCTGGGGGATTAGCATCCGTCTATGGTCCTCACTCAAGAAAGACGAGTCTGTGGAATAATCTCTGATGTTTTTACAGTGCCCGCGATGAAGGCATCCAAAGAGTAGCTGGATGTACGCCCTTTGAATAGCACACTGACACGATAACACGAAGTGACACCGGAAGTCTTATCCGTGTTTATTGTTGCCTTCAAGCGTTGTTTGGTGCAGATCGCGAGGTTTTAGATGCTTACTTCACCTGAACCGGAATTTACAGTTGAACGTTTTGGCTTGGTGCAGATCGCGAGGTTTTAGATGCTTCACCTGAACCGGAACTTACAGTTGAACGTTTTGGTTAGGTGAACTTTGAAGCTTTGAAATATTAGATACGCACGTCCACTCACACTTTCACTTGGCGTGTACAGCAATGGCGTATATTTTTCGTCGCTCTTATACCGTCGTTACGTACAGTGTTCTTTAAGAGCCCAGTGCGTGTCGCTTAGAAGCAGCGACTAGTCTCCTAAGTTTGCAAGTCTCCGCTCTTATTAGTATACATGCCGATAAAACCCAGCCTATTTTTTACTGCAAACTCAGCACCGAGTCCTATCCCCTCCACAAACAAAAAGAAAAAACCCAAACACGCACCTCTAAGGAACCTGTCCAATGCGGTAGTGTTCAGCTTCCGTACTCCCTGTCAACCGGGTCAACGAACTTCCTTTGCTCGCACCCTATCCTGCTTAACGCATCAGAAGTAGCGGATCAGTGTCGACACTGGTTCTTCTTTGTTGTTACTTCAGTGTTCTTAAAATCCGATGTATGCTGTCTCCGAACCAAAGATAGAGAATCATATTATGGCAGTGTATCTGAATATGGACCAAGTCAGCTGACTTTTTCTACGGCTTATTCTCTGGCCGTCAGATGACCCAGAATAGGTTAATCTCGTGAGGATCATAGAGTGTGGTTCAGGCTTGCCTGTCAGTTCAATGAACAATGAGGCCGGACGTGGTTCGTCTTTTGCACTAGCGACATCCCATCTTGACTTTCTCACCACTTGAAAACTTATTTCATGATCATTTTTCAAGGCGTAACATATCACCGAGCCGTGAACATATATTTGGCCGGGCCAATTTCGAATCACATTGACTAACCCATCCACCAACCCAATCTGTGGGTATTGTTTGCATACCGTTCAGCTTTTAAGGTTGCCAGCTATACACTCGGAACTAACCAAAATTCCTTTTCTCTGTTAGTTTTCTATCAGAACTATGTTTCGTAAGGGGTTCATACTACCGTCAGCATCATTCTACTAATCCACTCCCAGTTCTGTAAAATTATGTAGCTTCGAACATTTGCACATGTTTACGTGAATCGTTAGTTGATGTAAGCACCTCCTGACGCGACACGAGTAGGAATTTACTTCAAGGCTCCTCGTTTAAAATGACTGAAATTACCCAATGACTGCCGCACAACGGTTCTTTCCACTGGTGCCACTCTTCGACGACAGTCTGAGACGCTCATTGTACACTAGTCTTAGCCGAGTAGCTAAATGAATGAGTGAAATGTTCATTATCATGCTGGAACTCGATGTTTTTAAGCCTTTGTTGCTTCATTTCCGTTTTTTGTCATCGTTATCTGTGTAGATTCTCCTAATGAGCGAAATTAGGATGGCCAACAGAACAGACATTGGTTACAAGTGACAAACAGACAGAAGTGATGAAACGCAGATGACCAATGGGTACCCCGCGGGTCACCTTTCTCTTATGACAGTCATAAAACAGGTGCGAAAATGAATCATCAGGTCTTTCTTTAAAACATTGTATCAAACGGCTACTTGTGCTGGTCGGCGTTAGTGCTGCAATACGAGGCAGTCCGACAAAGTGCACCGGATTCTAGGAGTTATGTTACTAGGTGGTACAAGTGCGAAGCCTTATTGTTTATAAATGTCTATCCAATAAGAGAAACCCTGATAATTCCATCGGATGTATTGCGAAACATGAATACCGAATCCATCATATACCGTTCGGTCATAAACCTCAAACCCCTCGAGACAGTAACAAGATTGTCAGTCTTGATTTTTGAATGTTTGGTGATTCTGGCTCGTAGTACCTACCGCGTGGGAGTTGAACTCGATCACAGAATTCATTGCTGAACAGGATCTCAGCAAGTAATCGTCCTATTGATATTTGGTTAACGAAGTAAACACATCTGTGCGCGATTAAGGGCGTTTTTTGTGTCAGCGTGCGCTTTGAGACAAGGCTGAGAGAGATCTAAGGAAGACGGTTTGTATTGTGGACTGTCACGGCTGCACGGATATGTAAAAAAGCGCGGATATTATTATTGTGACGGGTGATGTGTGATTCAAACTGATCGACTAGGCCCTGGGCAAGTCAGCGTTCGTGGTCACACCTCACTTGATGACCACTGTGCAGGTGTGAAAAGAGGGCGACCTTTACAGTTCTATGCTGGGTTCCGTTTGCTTCTGGTCCATGCGAACTTGCAACACAAATGCTCACATTGCTAACTGCAAACAACCAGTTTAGTCATATAATGATCAGCTACCGGTGGAGTGCTCCAACTCAAGATTGTCCTTCCTTCAGGACTGAGTAACTTGAATCTGACCGTTGCATTGTGCGAACATACTGATTAGTTTGCCTTCTCTCGAAAGAAAGTCGGTTTGTGGAAGTCAGTTCGATTCATTATTTCCAAACAGCCACAGATTCGAATAATATCAAAGCCAGTTGGTGAAAGACCTTCGGAAATCAACCGGCACAGTTCAGTAGTCATGATTTAGAAAACGAGTAGAAATAAGGCGAAACAACTATGTGCATAACCTTTGAAGCCATCTGTCCAGAGTCTTACTTACACTAGATCTAGTGGGTGTCCCAGACCTTGCTACAGTCATATCTTGTCCCCTCCGTCCTTCTCTTCCCATGTAGTCCTATCTGCTCGGAAAAACTTGCCGCACTCCCTACTCCGAAACTCGGTTCCTTTTCTAGTCGGAGTAGCTATCACTCCAACTTTCTCATCCTTATTTTGCGTAGTTTTCATCCAATGGTCTATAGACGCAAAGTGGTCTAAACACACACAACTGAACGGTGACCCTTGAGTGGCACCATTTTATGTTATCTATATTTTGGGCCCTTGAACTGTGGAATAACGACAGTGACGATCCGTTCCCTAGTGGATCTTGCCGCCGGTAATGATAATTTCTGTAACTTTCGCTTAATCATACTACTATCCTCTTTGCGTTTTTTTACTTCAGTCTGGTTGTCTTCGGTCAGCGTCTCTGCGCAGTCTTTAGTCAGCTAAAAACTGACGAAGCAAATAAGATGGGTAAAAAAATATTCTAATATAGTCTCAGCATCAGTTAGCTTCTGATGTGCGGTGGTTTTTAGCTGCTCACCAGTTTTACATCAACGGAGCCCGAGGTTGACTATCTACATAGGATATGTAGTGTGGGGTGCAAGCTATTGGATTGATTATAAAATCCACGAACCTTGTCCCGTTTAATGAAGACGGAATTGCCACCTGAAAGACGTAGAAATGCTTTCCACGGGAATGTGGCCGAAACTTTGTGTTCGAAATTTTCTGTAAAGATGTTTACGGAACCCGGAATACTCGAGAACCCATGGCCAAGCCTTGTTCTCAAGGAGCCAAAATCAGTGAGGTTCAGACATCTTTCACCCCTCACTGCATCATCTACGGTGTGCTTTGTGTATTCTGCCAGTGAGTTGTCTCCCAGTGGTAACTGGTACTCAATCTATGGAAGTCCATTTTATTATCGTGCTAATTCAGGATCTATGCCCTATCCGTAACAGATGAGTAGTCTGTTCTGTCTCGAATCGGGCTCATAGGGAATCAGCCTTGTAGATTTTTGGCAGATCGTAACTCATTGGTTATATTTTATTTTTAGGGTAAAATGACAACCACGCCCTACCCTAACTGGTTTATCTCAGGTGACAAATACTCGTTAGTTTCAACTTACCCTTAAGCATTATAGACTTGATGTTCCCATTGCCAGTCTGATGGCAAGGTCCGTCATCTAGGCGGCTTTTCACTTTCCGCAAATGATTGTTTTTATTCATGATAACAATGGTCCTATGCACCCGCGCTTGCCAAAAAGACTCACCGAAATTCAGCACTGAATTAACGTGCTAATGAAAACAAATCTCCGTCGGCCCTAAAAATCGGCCGGCTTAATAACCTAGTCACGCGGCCTAACGAAGTCTTGCACCAAAACCAAAAATTCCACAGTTCGTCTACCAAGCCTCCCTCAGATAATGATTTATCGTAGGGTGCCAGACTTTTTTCAATCTGGTTTCTGTTTGATGTTCACAGGCTCACCACCGTCAACGATCAGATGTCAATGTTTGTTCGTGATGTGGACAAAAATTCAACCGGAGTCGCTTCGGGAGATGGTTCAGTGAGGCCGCCATCCACAATTCCAGCTGGCCAGGCACCTGGAGTCACCTCTTTAACTGCCGGACAATTGACACAGCTACACACAGTTAAACGTCATCGGGAAATCCTACGTGACTACGCTCAGGAATTTCGACAAACTAGGGCTAAAATCATCGCCGCTCGTGAGCGAGAGGATCTGTTGAGTTCGGTGGGTTAATAGTCGATTTGTGCGCCATTTTAGGAAGCCCAGTGATCAGTGGGCTTTTACTGTTAACCTGTAATTCTGGCTGATTACCAAGCACTCGCTTATTGTGAATATGGAACAGCCGGCTAACGTCTGCTGTATAATCAAATAATGGAACGTGTTTGTTCACGTAAACGTAGAAGGTATACGAACCCGGTCGAAGGTCCGTTTAAGCTGTTGATATGTTGTACAGATGAGCCTAAGTCTTCTACCCGGTCGAAATACTGCCTGATGTTCTCGACCTTTTGTTTCAATTGCCGAAGTTTGGCTTCTCAGTACCATTGAGATGATTTGTTATGTTACAACTGTGGTTGAAGCAGTCTCTTCGGGGACTTTTCAGAAATTATGTGGCAGCAAAGCATCGGTGCTGAACGCTGATGCTATACTGTCAATGATGATTCTAGCAATTAAGCTACTGTGATTGAGCAGCCTCAGTTGTCTAAGTCTAACTGTTCCTCTCGGAATAAGTTACGTCTAGATAGCTAAGGAGATTGAGAAAGCGAGATACTTTAGTAGTGTATGTAAACTATTCCGGCTAATAAGTGCAAGTGGCTCAAAAAGGCGAAACAATCAATGTTGAAAACGGATTCCTGGCCCACAAAGAAGCCACTGGTAGTGAACTTGGAACCCTTAACGGCTTCGGAAATATGAGAGTGCCTTTTATCTCTCAAACTTCACGGAGCTACTGGTCCTGACGACCTTCTACTCATCCTGTTCAAAGATGGGGTTTAAGTCCTCAGTCGGTGCTTGTCTAGGTCGTCCCAAACAACAGTGCGTTGGTACACAGTAGCACCATTTTCAAAAAAGGTGCAGCTAGTGTGGCGAGCAGGAGAATCAGGTTGACTCACGTTGAAATTGGACTCAGTGTCGCTTATTCTGTGTCGTCTTAAGAGAGCATGTGAGGACTTAACCCGAAATTCCGATCAGTGGTGGTAGACCGAATCTCCACACTCCAGCAAGTGTTGTAGCAATGGCATTCCTATTGATGCCTTAAAATCTTGCTGTTCTTTGAATTCAAGGGTGCGGTTTGTTCTTTTCGGCACGCCTCCACAGCAGGGTATGGCCCAGAATCGTGTGAATATCGCGCTCTGGTGGGGTTGGTGAGAGTGTATTGGGAGCTCACAAGAAGCTTTCCTATATGCAGTGCTGTCCGACAGGGGCATCTACTCTCTCCTCTGTTGCGTGATTCCATCACATATGGATTACCAAGATTTCATAGTACCTTACAATGGCTTTTCAACCTTAAGCATGGCGCTTGAACGTTGTCAATTTTGATCGAAGTCGATTGTTGAATGAAACAATAATCTCAGGGACCATTAAATGTATCTGCAAGAAATTTCGTGACCTTTCATTTCGGTTTATTCCAAAACCATAGACAAATTCATCTGTACGCCTACTCCGCTGATTCTCCTTGATACTGGTTTTCGAAACATACGTCCTGTTTCGACCAATTGGGGTCAATTTAGACCTGACACAAGATTGTAGATTAGTTAACGATTCCACCATGCCTTCAGCAATTGAATGTTCGTCTTGTTAAAAATCTTCAAACTGTGCGAGGATCTGATGGGTTCAGTTCAAGTGTGCAAAATCATTGCCTGGAGTAATGGAATAATATCCTGTGGTGCGAAAGCTGTTTTTCCAAAAAAAATTGCTTCATCCTGGATGCAACGGTGTTTAATTAAAAGAAATGTACACCTATTTGGTCGATCGTGGACCTCAATGTTTAGCTTCCCCTCTTTTCAGGTTTATCGGGACGTGTCCAATCGTGACTCGATCGAATCTACTGATAGTTCAGGCAATCAGCGTGGTACATCGCTTCACAGCCAGTCGTCCAGTGCCACGCGATTGCTTTTGGACGAACAGGAGAAGTACCATCGGTCCAACAGGATGATGGACGATCACCTGGCCGCCGCTTCCACAATCCGTGTGGCATTACGGGCCCAACGCATGGCATTACGTAACGCGTCAAGCGGATTGCACAACCTGGCCACTCGCTTTCCCCGAATCAAACAGTTGATTGGGAAAATAGATTGGCGCCATCGGAAAGACTCGATTGTTTTAGGCCTCGTAATTGCCTTCTGTGTCGCATTCTTGATCATTTATAGACTGTCATAACTTCTTTCTCTGTTTCCAAGTCCAGACGCTTCGACGACGTGTGCAGTCTGTGATCGATCCATTTACTCGCTGCAGTGGCTGCGCGCAGCCACACCACTTCCCCTGCAGTTGTACAACATGCTTCTTTTGTGCCCCGCATGTGCTGTAGAGGTGTTTTTTCGATTGTTATCCCGACGTGAACTTTCGAAGGGAGTGTCTTCTCCGAGTGCGTGTTCCCCCAGCAGCGAACATCTGTCCTCACACACATATACACTGTCTTTCAGTCACTTTGTTTACCGTTTTTTTGATTGGACGAATTGGACGTGGCAGCTTCACTATCCGTCACTTCCCAACCTACTTCCTGTTGTTTCTAAATACAGATTTTTCGGGATACTCATTGGGTCTAGACTGCTTGCCCCACTGCTCTATTCTGCAAGCAGAAAATCCGGTATCCACCCATTATTTGTTCTCTGTGCCCCGTCCCAGCTGCACTTTTGGTAATCATGTTTCGTTACTTCATTATTAAACGAGGTGACAATGCCGCTTTTGTGTTCATCATCAGTGATGACAATCGCGGGATATTTTTAGCGGTGGATTACTTCGTTTTGTCACGAGTGCTATGTCTGGTGTGAGGATCAGTCAACGGGATCCCGCGAGTTCTCATGGGAACCAGATACGAACGGCGTCCCAGATATAGACTTCACATCGTGTGTGGTGCGAATTTCACATTTATGACGTTGGAAATCTGTCTGAAAGACAATTGCCAAGCTTGGCTAGCAGATCAACTGCCACCCAATCAATAGTCATGGTACAAATGTTTTGTGGATCTTACGGAGGTTTTATGAACTTCTCGCGAGGTTGACGCAGGTTTCAATGGCGTTCCGTGAGTGTCCTGCGGGAATCCTAATAACCTTTGTAATGAACGAGAAGGTTCCGAACGGAACCCCTTCGGACAAATTTCTAACCCACTCAACTTCCTATCTAATTTACGCGATCTTACGCCGCGGGTAGCCGGTCAATTGAAAGCATCCCCTTCAGCTAAAGAAATGCTACTCTCGATACTCATGACTGGTGCACCTGAATACCGTTCACCCGTCTGACCGACTGCGGTTGCATCTTCAGTGCAAATGTGCGGGAGGTCAACCCGTGTTTGTTGAGTGGCTGCGATTGTGGCTTAGCGGAGTAAATGATTTACAGCTTACTCATGAGTAGTTGGGTTACTTAATGGAATTACCGAACCAATGTCCTATCCGCACAAAAAAGGTTGCTGGCCTTCCACCCTGAGCAAATCTGTCAGTTACCCCCTTTCTAAGATCGACTTGAAGGTAAACGTATTATTGAACAATAGCTGTTAAGTGCGGCATCGTGTCGCCACTTCTTATGATTTTGTCTTTGGAGTATTTCTAAGTAGATAACAGAACTGACCCGTTCACCGGAGATATACTATTTTCCGAGGGGATTGGTCCCAAAATCAAAGACCAAGTTATCTGTTGACTGTTCAGGGATTACAATAAGGCGTATCTAATCGAAACCTGCCAATAGCGCAACAATTGGGAACAGGACTCTATCAAGAAGGTCAGATTCCTGAAAATAACCCCAGGACATCCGAAACTTACTCGCACTCGCTTGTAGCAATGAAGCTGTGCTCTTTTCTGGCACCAGGCACTGGAGTGGGAACAGCAATCTTCAGTCGCCTTCGGAGAGTGATATCACAGTGGGACTATTAAACAAATCCCCGAAATAGCGCTGCAGTCCATTACCCATGAGTTCCAGCGCCTCTCGAATCTTAAACACAACATGGCCATGTTGGAGAGTCCCTACTGCAACAGTGCCAAGACGGCATCGAGGCGACCCCCGTGGTGCCGAATTCGAACGGAGCGAAGCCTCCTCCAGCATGCTGGCAATGCGGTGAATGGCATTTTGTGCGGTTGTGTCCGTATAAAAAGCACAAATGTTCAGTGTGTAATCGAGTGGGCACAAGGAAAGCCAGTGCCGGGAGTGGAAAGCTAGCCAAAGACGCAGCCAAACCTGGAAGCCACGAAGCAGACGCAGCCAGCCAGAAGCCCGTTTTAACGGAATACTTGCAACATTTGATAAACAGATCGATGCTCGTCGCAAGTACGCTACAATCAGAGCAAACCAAAGCACGACTCGATTTCAGCTCGATATGGCTCCCTATATTACGAATGTTTACCGGCGCACCTGGAGATATATCGGATCACCGGAACTCAGACCAACAATGAACACTGCCAGAAGTGCTTCAGCTAGTAAGCTTCAATCACTTGGTGAATTCGAATAAGAGATGGGGATAACAGACCACCGTAATCGTGGTATTATCTTTCGTGCTACTTGTGAGCCTAATCTTGGCATACACTGGATCGATCGCTTGCATCTTTCAACACTGCCAATCGAAAACCTACTTTTACCAACACTGACAGGAGGGAAGCCAATATTCCGGTCTGGAAATCGTGTGCTTGTGAGGGACTATCGCCCCGTGCACCGAAGATGGACTGTTGGAGTCGTCCTCAAAAGAATCGGACAGGTGATTTACAGCGTCCATGTAGAATCGTCGATATGGAAGCGGTATGTCAGTCAGTTACGGCCGACTGAGTGCCTGATCCCAAAAGCGGAAGAACAGTGACTAGATCTCACTCTGCTGCCTGAAACCTTTGATCTCCCAAGACCAGCACCAATAGACGTCGTTACACATGTACCGTCCAAGACGGATCCATTGCTGCAACCGAGACGCCGTACCGGTCGCGGTAGAACCTTCTCAACTTCAAGCACGCCGAAAATCTTACGTCGAATGGCCACAAGGGGGAAGTATCCGGAAGGTCAGATTCCTGAAAGTAGCCTCAGAACGCCCGGAACCTGCTGAGACCCTAAAATTCCACCAAAATCTCAACAGGAAAGCCGGAAGGCACCCAGACCAGTCAATCATTCAGTTAACCCAGCAAAAGCCGATGAGTGCTCAGGCACGCCACAGAAGCACGACCGAATGTGATCAGCGTTCAGGCTTTTCATAGAGGCACGATCGATGTTGATGGGTGTTCGCTAAACTCCTATCAGACAGCCTGGATCAATGTCAAAAAGTACTCTTTAAGTAGCGCGGGGCCTCGTAAATTTTGCACTAGCACGCAGTCGCTTGTTGCAATAAAGCTGTTGTGTTCTTTGTCAGCGAGTATTCTTCCGGCACTAGGCATTGGAGCGCGTACGGCAACCAGATATAACAAACTCATTTCAAGGAACCGATGTTGTAGGATGCCCACACATGAACAGAAGTGTCTCAAAGTATGGAGAAACGTATTTACTCATCGAAATCCTGAACTGGAACGTCCTACTTTCACCTCCTCAATTTGGCTTAGTACGCCATCCCACGCACTGGAAATGGTGCTATTTTCACGATCGTGGCGCATGTAGTCTTACCGGAGAAAAATATATGTATAGTTTGTATCTAGTTATAGAGGAGATGCGGTTTGGATCTTGGACAGATTTCAGTGCCTCGGAATTACCCCCCTAACCAACCTGTGTGTCTGACGATGGGGCAAGTTCATCATCATCTACAGTATGACATCAGTGTTCAGCAGCGATGCTTCACTGCCGTATAACCATGATTCATTTGAAAGCTTTATTATAAAGAAAAGAGTAAAGGTGGATAGGGAAGGGACTTAGTGCTAGCTTACCACAATCATTCCGAGGTGCCTACACCTCCAGACATTCACTCAGGCAATCTGGATAGAAACTGACAACAAGAACAACAACAAGACATCGGTTGGCAGCCATATCTTGTAGTGTCTCCAACCAGGCACAGTGAGGATCACGCGGTCCCCATTCTGGAAGGCGAGTAGCACCGACAGCACCCAAGCGTTTCGTGATCTCCTTCATCCTCCTCTGCCAAGTCAAGGGTTGGCCACCACTCTGTTGCATAGAAATAACTGAATGAAAAGTGGAGAGAGCAAACTACCCAGTAAATCTCAGTGTTTTATCCTGTTTCCGACGGTCAAATGTGGAGACTGAATTGTTTATTCATGCAGTGAGGTATGGTGGGACACTATGAATACTACACATAGGAAACGTCATCTCTCGTTTCTCTGACTAGTCTGACCAAAAACTGCCAGTTTTCGTGACCAGCGTTAAAGCTGCTGCTTACAACACAGCCTGAACTAATCAGATGGATGAACCTCAGTACTTGAATAAATTAGTTGAATTCTGCTTTTTTCATTTTCTGGTAACTGATCATTCCGAGGACTAACGGGCTTACTGATTGACGTGTGGCAAGTGGGAATATGGAAGTTCGGTCCCAGCCGAGTCAACTCATGAGAGGTTACAGTGAGTACAAAAACCTATGATATGCAATGCCATCTTATCATGTGCAGAATGGCTAGTGAATACCTAATCACACTTTCAGAATTACACTACGCTGCACAAAACCGTTTGGCTGAGCATAATGTTTCGCGACCTGCGGTCTGATTCGGTTGTAGGACGTGATGCACACCTCCAACAGGAAGAAAATATCTCCTATGTAACCTCCGAATCTCACACTGGGTTGAAATAATCGACACACCGAGTCTTACAACCATAGGGGGATTGACGATTAGCAGCCTGTGTTTCGGGTTAGATAAGGCGCAATTTTGAAGGTATCACCACCTGACTCAGCATCCTGTCGAGTAGTGCTGCCGTTGAGTGGGGTTTAATGGTACAAGGGTTTATTAGGTGCCGTCGAGGCTACTTCACTGGGTGGAATTTTCTGGGTCAAGCGTTTCTTGATAGATTTATCGTGAAACCCATTTTCTAACGAAGCGTCGATTGGGCACTTTGTATCCACGACAAAATATGGATTTGCAGCGGGTTTTCTATATGGGGCACGGTTTTGTGCTCCACTACCAGGTTTCCTCGAAGTGGAGGAAGAGTAACGACCGTTCGTTCTCTGGTTCACAGTTGAATGGGTATCTGACTTACCACTGGCTTTCGCGAGCGGATACAAGTTTATGAGACGAAACAGACTACACTGATCACCGAAGAATATCTAACACGATGATATGCAGCGCTCATTAAAAATGAGCCATTTCTGACTACACGTATCACACTGCTGTAAGGTTGATTACACTGATCACCGAAGAATATCTAACACGATGATATGCAGCGCTCATTAAAAATGAGCCATTTCTGACTACACGTATCACACTGCTAATAAGGTTGCTGAAAACCTTTCGATAGCCCACGACGGGTTTCGCCCTTCTTGAGGCCCATCAGGTAGGCCCAGCTCCCGAGTTTCCGTCAACCTCATGTTTCACTTTTTTTACTTCGCCGTCTTTTGCCCAGATAGGTGGATTTTCCGCAATTCTTAATCGGATTTTCATGATGAGCTCACATTGAATTCAGACGAGCCAGTGTGTGTGGATACACCCTATTCTGTTGTATGCGCTGGTTGAATAGGAAAAAACTATTATTGCATGTACCAACAAAACTAACCCAATCTCGAGAACGAAAAATTGGGGATCCAATATTGATTAATCAAATACTATAAGACATGAACAGGTGCGATGACGAAGCGGATGAGACTGGGCTAGTTACACCAGAAAGTCTGGCGACAATTCGCCATAATGACACGAAGGGCATCGCTAGACAGGTTAGAAAAACACTCGGGGAACCAAGGTGTTTCTGTCTCCACCCAAAAAATAAATACAAAATGGAAATAGTCAGTATCAAAGACAAAGGACTGTTGTTTGCACTGAGCGAAAAAAAATTAGGCCAGCGTCAGTGTTCAAGTTCACACGAGACTCTGACCGATAGAAGGCAGAAGCAAATACAGGTAGGGTGCCACATAGTTCCAACATGAAACATAAGAATCAACTAGAAAGAGTATCTGAATAGAATCACGCCAAGTAAAGAATCTGGTTGTTTATGCTTCACTGTAAGGCTGCTGCATGAGGTCTAGCATGTTATTCAAAGATTGGAACGTGTGCTTCAGCAACGCAGTGGGTGAGCCCGAATCGGTTGAGGGTCGGAATGACGAGGCAATCACCTGAATGTAGCTTGGATGTATGTTGTAGCATACTCCGTAACCATCGGTAACGACGGGTCCGAATGCTACAGTCGCATCATCATCAGCTTTTACCTGAGCAAAGCAAACAAAGAAACATGGTGGCAGGGCCCAAAAAGGTTTCACGTTATGCGTCCTACCCTACTCCAAACATAAACTACGTATTAATGAGGACCGGTATTCGAGATAGTTACGGCTGTGCGCGAGTTGACCGCTGTTTTCCCAGCATTCACGCAACGCCTCACGATGGTGTGCATCAACGTGCGGACTGCAGCGGATTTGGGATACACTAAACAAAACAACAGACAGAACAGTAATCAACATCATTGACAGCATAACTTCAGTGTTCAACACTGATGCTTCGCTGCCGTACAACCATGATTGATTTGAAAACCTCTTGTGAAGAAAAGAATAGTGAGTGATCAGCTGTAGCACCCTTCCGGTGACTAGCTGCCATGCTACCCGAAGGAAGCACGAGGGCTGGGATACTGCCAGGTTGCCTAAGCCTAGATAGGGGAAGTCGAGAGGCGGAGGCAGGATTCGAACCACGGATCTTCCGGTCAGTAAATTCGCGCTCTTACCACTTGGGCCATCTCGCCCAGGGAGGGGACTTACCTTACCACTACATTACTACAATCGTTCCAAGGTTCCTGCACCTCCAGACACTCATTCAGGCAATCTGGATAGAAACAGATAACAAGAACACCACTCATATCGATCGGCGACCACAACTTGCAGCGTCTTCAAGCAGACGCAGTGGGGATCACGTGTTTTCCATCCTGGGAAGCGAGTAGCACCGACAGCACGCAAACGCTCCGTAGTCTCTTTCATACCCCTCTACCAGATCGAGCGCTGGTCACCTCTTTGCCTCCACCACTCTAAACTACGCACGGCAAACAACGGTTCGGCATACGCAATACATGGCCTAACAAACACATCTTCTGGTGCTGGACACAGTGTTCAATGGAAATACCCGTAGCACAACTGAAAACTCGCATTCTACTTGACTCGTTACGGATTCACCAGCACTAAATCACAAGAGCTATGGTTCGGAGACAATGACTGTCGAACACATGAAGGTGTCTCAGTTCCACTGCTCGAACACGCCAAGTCTCACAGCCAAACCACGGATGATGACGAAGCAAATCACCGATCTCAGTGGAAAAAATCAAAATGCACCTCATCAATAACCAATTGACACACCCGAGCAAACAATGTCCTCGTATATGGTCAAAATGAATAGCGTTCCTGAGGGATCTCATAAAGCAAGAACAATATATTCAGCGTATTCGACTTTTGTGAGCGAACGTCCCTAGAACCCTTCAACTCCTGAAGTTTCAGAGATAGGTGAAGAATATTCAGGTAGCATGTGGATACCTAAGTTTAAAACACGAAGGACAATAGAAAACAGTGCTTGTGGAGATTTCGTCCTGTAAGTGAAGCCAATCTATGCTGAAAAGCCGAGAAGCAGTGCCGAAAACAGTGCTGTCTGACACAATAGGATGAGGTCATCTTAAGCAACGACTTATCGTGATCCCATCGGCATCTACAGGACTTGGAACGTGATGTTATGAGTAGAGAACATAATTCACTCGTGCGACGTCCATGTCAAAATCAAAGGCATCCCATAGGTCCAGAAAAACGACTAGTGTTGATCATTGGTAGCCCCGGTGGTGTTTAATTACTTGCTGTCATGTGAAGATGTTGACAACACATCCCTGACAACAGTGAAACTCAAGTTTGATTCTGAATCTTCCTATGACCGATCGATTTGTGTAATATCATGCAAGAGAGCACTTCAGACGCTAAACTGATTCCACACAAGCTCCTCAGTCTCACTGGGAGCACGGTATCGAAACGGAGGCAACTCATTCGGTTGCTATCCAACCCTGAGACCATACAGAGCGAAGCAGCTTTGCACAAATTGGCAATCAGTCTTTTCGCCACTTTCTTTGTCCAGAGCAGGACATGGTGCCATTTTAGTGTTAGCTCAACAGTCGATATTGCCTTTAATTTACAAGGGTATCGCAATAGGTCTAACAGAGGACACAAGCCAACATGCACAAAAACGATATTTCTGACCTAATGATGCATTTTCTAATTGGAAAGATATGAGAAAAGGCGGATTGCACTGGTAACTGCGAAAAAGCGGCCTTCAGAGAACAAACGCTGTCAAATTGGAACGCTGTAGATAGAAGCTGGAAGTGGTAACTCTAAACTTTACATACAATACCTTTTTAGTAAGTAAGGTGAGAATGGATGACACTGGACTACTCTGAAGTTGGGATAATAGCTTCAAAGAGCCTAGGCCCAACAGCCCGAAAACACTGTATCAGTATGAGGCCTCGATTGTTGCACGAAATAGTCGCATTCTTGCGAAGTCGCCCAGCCTTACGAGTGAAATACCAATCAGTAACAGGACATCATTTACAGTACCGTCCCGAGTGGGATGATTGGGCGAACCATAGATACGGACTCAACATTCGTGCGGGGTGGTGTGTGAACCTTGTAAAGATAGAAAAGGTTCATTAAGCTAACACTCAAGAAGGACTGTAGTACATGCGATTCCAACCAATAAAAAAGTTACGGGGTTACCAACATTCCCATATTCAGCTGAAGTTCTGAGATGCTGCAGTTCGCCAGAGTGCAAACAATCCTCATATCGTTAGGCGATACCGACATCCATCTCACGCAGGGATAGTTTTTGTTAACTTGGCAGAAGCCGAACAACCGAGAAGAACGAGCGACTATTTGTGTGCGACTGAGCAAGCAAGCCGTGTGGTCAAAACATGGTGTCACGACTTTAGCGAATATACACTCATTTGCAAACTAATTTGGTTTTTCGAGAGACTCATCTGCAACCCAACTGAATCTCTCGTTTGTGATGTTCTCAGGCAACTGAATGTGCTGCACCAGGCCGCCTCATGTTTCAGTAGCTACGATCTTCGAGATATCGCGATACATGTATATCTTTGTAATGTACAACTCATAAGGATTTTCAGCAACCTTATGAGTAGTACATTACAAAGATATGGTGTCATGACCTTCACACAGTATCGAAGTGACCACACCTGGAGTGACCAATAGGGATGACCCAGTGAGCTTACAAAATTATTCCAGAACGAAGAATTCGGTTCGGACTACTCAAGTTCGAGCTCAGTACAGAAGCATTATATTACGCACACTATTGTACTGATCTGGAAAATAAATAGGCTGAAAAGAATTCTCCGCTCTGAAACAGCGTTCGCCTACATGATCAAGGGGCACATTCCAAGCAGACAGCGTTACTCAAAGTAACTGCAGCGCACACTGAGGGACAGATGTTGTCTAGGCATTCCAATTAGGAAGTACCGGAATATCGGTGCACGCACCATGAACTGCAGGACTTCGGATGACGTTCAAAAAGAACCAAATGGATTCTATCTAGGCTTCGAGGCAGTAAGACTCGAAAGACAGAGTACGTCAGAGACATTCACCCAAAAACATCGTGCTCACACAGAACTGGTATAAAATGCAGCCTTTTCTCATCTGTAAAAATTACTGGAAAGAAACTTTCAGAAGTGGATGAGTTACCATAAGTGATCTCTCGTTGGGGTCTTTTCAAACAGAGACAACCATGTAAGCGTTGACAGGTGATTAGACAAAATGTCAGGTGGGGGGTTGTAGGATTATTACCCCTAAGAGGGGGGCAGGGGTCGTGACCATAGCTTATCAACTTACCTGACTGGTTGACAGGCGGTAGTGGTTGATTTTAGAGTACGTGGGGTCCATGAACAAGCTTTGGAGCTCCTGGAGACCCCCCTGATCTGATCCTGGAAGGCTTTGAGCCAACATACGGAGTCCGAGCAGATGTCGATCGAATCCCTGACCAGCCAAAGTTTCTTTAGTGTAATCCTGATGACGGCGTAACGCTGCACGAAGCAGTTTGACTCGGTCCTCTACGGGACAGTTCTACACGGATTCCAAAAAAAAATTGAAAGGTTGCGGTACAGTGAGGATACACCAGATCAGAAGTAATGAAGAAATCGGGTGCGCTAGAAAAACCGCTTTGCATAGCTGAAAATAGGATGTGACTTCGAACGACGAAACAAAGGGATCACTTCGGTCTCTTCTCAAGTTGATCACATGCGCAATAAGCGAACGAACTTTGTTGGAGATCAGTTGTCGAGATACAATTAACTTCCGTTATGTGGGTCACCCACTTTGACTGCTCCGAATATATCCGCGGCGCACGTAATAATCCAACAAAGATAGCCTAACACTGTGGTGATATCGAGATGTGTCTTTTGTCGGTGAACAGATTCCAAGAATGGACAATCAGCCCGGCAAAATCAACACCAATGCAGAGCACATAGGCCAAGACAGAGGAAATAGGTTTTTCCATTGACGACAAATGTCGAAGTAGGTATACAAAGACTCACAGAGACCAACTCCTGAAGAAGGCTTTCAATCTACAATACAGCAGCTCGACTGGTGTGGCTCAGGGCATGTGAGCTGACGAAGGACACAAACTCAAAATGTTTCCCGCCAACATTGAAAATGTTAGACCGAAAACTCAGATAGAGTAACTGCTATAAAAAAACCTGTCAGAACATTTGATGTCCTTCCAAGTTGATCCAAATATCCGAAAGCATCATCGCGAAGTAGGTCCCAAGTCCGCAGCTGCATTGCTCTATATCCCACTTTAAAGAATGAACAAAGTTTATAGGTTTTCGTTCTCTCACAAACTCAGGGATTATAACACTAAGATAAGTCAAAGCCACTGTGGCACCTGCAGAGCGGTTTAACGGCAGTGGATTTTAACATTATACCGTGAAATCACACAGAAATACTACTTCCTGGAGATCTGCGAGTAGCGCATCAGTTTTAAAATCAGTGTACTCATGAACGATGATCAGAATGATCACGAATTAAAGGGCATGGAATGACGTTGGAGAGACAAGTGTGAGTTACTGAGTAAATAGAGCTATATCATTACTAGTTAGATAAAAGGTGGGTGCTTCAAAGCCAATGACGCTCCTGAGCATCATGGCAGGCCGCTATTAGAAGGTGGTGGTTGGACCTAACCGGCTTCGTTGACGCAGGCAGTAGGGCACGGTTACAGCGTCTTTGTAAATAAGTTTATTCAGCATCGGCTGATCTAACCATAGAGCATTTATTCACCTGTGGGCGACAAGGGGTATCAGAATGACCTCCTGTTGACTTCCTGTTGCGAGCAGGGGCAGTCGTTGATTGCCCCAATCACCGAAATTCAGTATATGGCTGTAAAAGACCGACGAATAGTGGGATTCTATGTGAAGCAAAGAAGTGAAATCAAAGACAAATACTGCCGCGGAACCGAATCGGAATAAATAGAAACCCACCGGATCCAGCATTCCCCGTGTGAACTGCACGCTTTCTTGACTGCAGGATCGGATAGTCTCGGTGCGACCTAAATGAAATCGCCGAAGTGAGCCGGTCTCATAAGTTGGTGGTGGAGGCAAGTTGGGATGCAGTTGAGCATAGGCAAGTTGGAGGGCTATCTATAAACGAAAAAATGAGCAAAGATTGAATGAAACCCCGGTTACTGGAAACCGCCACAAGACCAGTGCGAAGGAAAAAATGCATAAGGTCGGATTGGCATGAACAATATTCATAATTAGTTATCCTATTCGAGTAAAGGGAACAAAACTGAGTATTGCTCAACTGATAAATAACAGATTGAATACAATGTAGGACTACCATAGTGTAAAACGGTAGGTTAAATAGCTCAACAGATCACTACAGCCTGTAGTCATAGCTGACTTCTTCATAATTGGGAAACTGCATGTGCGACTACACTGCGCTCTCACGTGAGCGAAATATCGACACTGGAGTCACTCCGCATTTGTCGAAGAGACCACAGTTCAATATTGTACTTTATACCGTTTAATGCTCTGTTTTGTTTATTTGTAACAGTCAAGGATGAATTAGCAGCACCGAACTTGCCGAAATCATTGAGTGCGGTTAATCGACCGCAGCTACATGTCCGATGTGGGCCACTCCAACCCTGGGGTCGTGACAATTTTCCCGAATAACCACCTCTATACATAAACTGATACAGATTGGAACTGCCTTTAGTAGCCTGTCCGGCGAGCATGGCAGCTGATTTGCAGACCGAACTCCAGAAAATTAAGTGGTCAAGGCTGAGCTCCGTGGTTCGAACCCACCCCCGGCGATCTCAACTGCTGTTGGGCAGGCAGTCTGACAGTATCTCGAACCTTGTGCTTGCTTCGGTGGCAGTGCAGGTAGGCACTGAAAAGGTGCTACAGTTGGAGGATTACTATTATGATTACTTATCCTGAGGAAGAGTGGAAGTGTCCGGAGGCCAGCCGTCCCTAATGACCGAACTTCACATCATTTGGACAGATGTGTCACGTGCAGAACACGGACCAAACGAAGGCATGCCCTGATTGACCAGAATGCCAGTCAATCCGGATCGAGCATCTTTGACTCCACGCTTCTCGTCCCCTCGCGGAGATTCTAGCACGACCTTGTGAAACACTGTAATTACCCTGTAAGTACAGTTGTGGTACTTTTCTTTTTTCTCCATAAAGGGCTGTCTAGAGCTATCGTGCCTTTTGATACACCATAGTGGGCGGAGCAGGAAGGCGAGGGACAGATACAGAGTTGCAATACCGTTCAGCAAGACACAACAAACAGACATGGTCAGTACGCTGTTAGGTAAGCGCCTTCTCGTCTCCTACCTGCAATGCTTAGTCAGCTGTAGTTAACGAGCCAATGACTTCAACCTAACTTACTAGTTAGGTTCCTGTTGTTCGTTCCTTAGTGGTTTGTTTCAAAATGCTGTAATTTCTACAGTTCCAGTTAGCTCTTTGATTCACTATTGTGTACATTGTACCATCTGAAATCCCGAAAACCGGCTGACCTGTAGCGAATTCGTGTGGTTGACAGACTGTGACAACCCTACACATATTCCACGACTTCTAGTGTTATAAAGGACCACTGATCGTAGTTGGATATAACCACCTGACTGTCTGTGAACAGTTCATCAGGTAGAGAACGCGCAAACAGCAACCAGGGAGAAACATAACACTTCAAGCGATTACTATAAGTGTCAAGAGTAGTTAAGTTTCAGGTGGAGTCTGACGTTGGAAAAGATTTATTTCCAACAAAGAATCGAAGTGCTAGAGAGGTGTAAAAGAAAACCTATGTCCCGGGGTGATGTCGGAAATCATTGGAATAGAGACTGGTGGTAAGGATACTACTGAGAACTCTCCAACCAATAACCAGCGTTCTTGCACGAAAACCAAAGTGTCCAACGTGCGCTGGTGGAGTAGTGGTTACACGCTCGCCTCGCATGTCAGATGTCCGGGGTTCAAATCCCAGCATGGCCATTGGATATGCACTGCTGATGAGCACTAATAAGAGTGAAACTCGAGTCCTGTGCTTCCCTTTAGTGTGCACTCGCCGGAATAATTACGCCAGAAAGGGAACACGATCGTTCAGACGAGAGTGGAGTGACTGAGCAAAATACCTATCCAGCCAGACCCCAAAATTGAAACCAGAGTAACCGACAAACGATCTCATTCGAAAGCAGTAGGCAGCACAGCAAACGAAGTCTTCAAATCATAAAGCTTTAAAAGTCTTCCGACCTGACATTGAATTAGCTCCCACATGAATCGCTCTTGGGAAAAGTTAACACCGAGGTACTACCTCAACAAGTGACTCACTTGGAAGAACGCATCCGGGCTCGCTTGTACATTTTTGATGACAGAGGAGCCAAATTTCCGAAATTCGCCGTATTGCAACTCCAGCGAGTCGATCAACCTGAAGCGGTCAGCAAATTTCATATTGGAAACTTAACACACAAGCAAACTACTCCTGAAAAATGGCCCAAAGTGGCGTCCACGAACAGAAAATAACTGGTTTCAATCAGCCAGACTGGTTTGCCTCCGTAGGATGACTAATCTACACCAAAACGAGTCAACAGTTCGAATGTAAGAGCACCATTGGTATAAGCACAAGTCTACTAGTATCCGTAACCATTGAATTCTAGGCATCCCAATCGTCAACGCGATTTGCCTTATTACCTGGCCTAAATCGAGTCACACCCATCCGATAAATTGTTGTACAGAAAGAGTTCTTTAAGCAAGTCGATCCGTTAGCAGTCGATGCTTGTGAACAAATCAGTGCAATCTATGGTTGCAGGTTCAGTGACATTCCCAGAGTCGAAAACACGGATGCTTATACACGGACTTCAAACAAACTTAGCAATGCGAATTACACCTAACCGACATTTCAGTTTAATGTTCTTACCAGGCGAATTCTGGTCTTCCCTACTAATCGGGCTACCGGGGCAGAAGCACGTGCCCATGTAAATGAATACCTAGGGCTACCTGGGAGGTGTGCGTTTGAATTTGGTCTCAACCAATTTCACAAGAGTACGATTGGCATTAGTGAAGCATATCAGAAAACAGAAAAATTCTGTCGGACTAGAGCGATGCAAGAACAGGCCGCCCATCCTTTGGGAATGACGAACACAAGTGCATATATTATATACATTATATAACCTGTGTACTATATATGTACGATAAAAATGGAGATATTACAGTGAGGGCCGTTAGGTACGATGGAATTTTGTAACACGCCCCTAACAGTATGACGTTCCCGACCAGCGACAGTGAAATGATATAGTGCGCTCATCACAATATCTGCAGTCGGTCTGTCTTCATTATACAGTCCGCTTTCCGGAAAGGGCACAACCTAACTCTAAAATACCACACCTTGTCATTCCCTACATGATCGTCACACAAGAACACACAAGTTACAGCTGTCAGTGATCATAACATTGGTTTCGCACAACACACTGTGCGGCCCCTTGTTGAGTCACAGTTTCACTAGATAGAATATTATGCTTAATGCGCCCCAGGAAACAGCAGTAATGGAGCAAGGAGTGAATGCCTCCCCCCTGACGTCTACAAGTCAACATCTACCCATCCCCCAATAGTTCCAAGCATGAGCAGACAGCATAGACGCCCCTCCGCAAATGTATTGGTCACTTGTTTTCGTTTTGTCCACGATTCCAACTGGAGCATTCGAGTGCGAGAATACGTGCACCACTGTCTTTCATATGTGCTGTATTCTGGTTCGCTAGGGCATGTTGTACGGGTAGACGACTATTCAGTGAGCAACATCGCGTGGCCCGTATTGCTTCCGTTCGGATGTAGCACCCTTTTGGTGCCTAACTGCTATGCCACCAGAAGGAAACACGAAGGCTGCCAGGTCGTCCAAGCCTAGACAGGGGAAGTTGAGAGGTCGGGTTCGCACTCAACCCACTGAGCTATCCTGCCAAGTGTTGCTTCCAGCAGATGCAATATCGGCGGTAGAAAACAGATAATTGACAACGAAGCACAAAAAAAGCATGAGATAGTTCAGGGATTAGGGTGCAAACCAATGAACGGAAGGTCTGTGGTTCCAACTCAAACTCTGAATTTTGGCTGTTTCACTCTGGTCTGGGAAACCTCGCGCTTCCGTAAGATAGCGTGGCAGTTATGCATCGGAAAGGGTGTTACAGCTGAACGATTTACCAAGCGTGAAAACTCTTACCAATCAACTCAGTCGCGTTTGTAACTATCGTCTTATCAGATGGGGACCGTCTGATGAGACGAACAGCCGATAGATACGACTGTGTCACAGACCCAATGATGCTCGTGCGTCGAAGCTATCGCCTACACTGCGTAACAGTACTTCCTGGCATATTGGAGACAGATCCCTTTGTCACCAAATCACGAACTGGGTCGCTGCCTCAAGCGTTTGGCCTTCATTCCCTTATGCTCCTTCACCTCGGTGAACGAAGCTGCAGGACCCGCAACGGCTTGAACTCAAGTGAATTGAGCTGAGCTGATAGTATGAGTTATAGAACCCATACCCAGAGAATCAACAGGATTTCAAGATTGAATGGAAATGATGAAAACCAAAATAGTCAACAAAGTACAACCGAACGTTGGCTTACAACAAGAAGGACAACAAATGGTGGACCAATGAACAACCAACAAGAACGTACCCTTTCAGCTTATCTTTTGTTGAATCAAACTCAGGTAAAATAGTCTTTGGAAGGAGCCAGGACAATTCCTGAGGATGCGCGAATACCGGCAACCGAGTAGAGCCTGCGGATATAGGGCTTTTTAGGGTCTCGTACACGTGAGAAATTATGGGGACCATTACTCCAGCATCGGCCGCGGTGTGTTCAAAGTTGAGTCCGACACAACCATCGCGAGTGACGATAAACTGAATTGATTTGTCAAACCACCGGTTCCCAGAGTTAATCAGATTACCATGTAGCAGATTGTGCGCACTCACTGTCTCCCTGTCATCCAACAAATCGGATTGATCACTCTGGACACGTTCCGAGGTATCCTGCGAAGGTATTCCAGCCGACTCATCAAGACAAAGGACGAACAAACAGGATTCAATCTTGGTCAGGGTGTTGGCATTCTTCAAGTCTATATAAAAGTTCAAGAAATATATCCAAGCATTTAGTTTAACTGCGAACTATTCAAAGGGAAGGGGGATTATAACTTAACTAATTACTATCATTATTATGTTACACTATTAATATATGTGGGATTCGATTGCCTATATTCAAGACAATCATGTGGATCAGGGAGAAGTTCGTCATTTTCAGAAGTGCAGTAAACAATCAGTGAATTTAATGCTCGGCTAAAGGAAGTGTACTTCGGGTGAGGAGATTCCGACTCCTCGAAAAACAGGGAGGTTCCACAAATTGAACGCGTACGTAGAAATAATCTGGAATAAGCGAACACGACTTCGACTAGACGACCTTGAAACGGACCGCTAAAAGGCCCGACTGAGCGCAGTGATTGTGCAACATACCAACCGATCCGTTCAAGAGTTTTACCTCGTTCCGAGGGAACTGAGATTGCAGGGAATTGATGGTTTACTGTCGTCCGATTCTTCTTGTGTTCCAGTGCGTGCTGTCTCAAATTACAATGGAGTGGTTCGACAAGCCAACGATCAATGTGAGAACTTCAGGCAATAGTCTCAGCCTATTTCAGCTGAGTCGATTAACAAGTGGTAACATAAGTGTCAGCGAAACGACATTCGAAAAAGACGTAACGACAACCCCCTCACAAAATCGTCGCCTGAGCGATTGGCTGGACAACTGAAAGAGCAACACAACTTCTGGAAGAACAGAACGAGCTGGATTGAAATGTCTACCAGTGGAATGTCAATACAAGTTTACTTCTCGAGTGGGGAGGGCCAGGACAGCTTCTGCCAGCTTACGACACCCGTGGCGCCGATGTGACGTCAGCCTGTCTGTCAGGAGCAGAATATACACTGCGATGGTCCGATCCAGACTAGTTTGTGGAATACAAACGTGTTCGCTACGCGCACAGGAAGTACGAAAGCTGTCAATGGTTGGCCATCATAAGCGTTAGACAAACATGTTGGGAACGATGAATAGACAATGCTGAGGTACGCTAGATGGTTTCATGGAAGAGGTGTCGACATGCTCAGGTTCCATAGATCACATTGCTTATGATGCAAGAGGACCACCTGCCCAGCAGAGCCCATTTCACTGAGCCTTGTGATGAGGGGTGGTCAATGGAGAACCTGACAACTAAGTACGAAAATACTAACCAACTACATCAGTCACAAAGACAACTAACCACTACTTTGTATAAAAAACGAGTGTTTCTTATAATTAAACTTACTTTGCCTGATGACTGAGTGCAAGCAGTTCCAATCGCCCCGCGGAAGAGTAGTGAACAGACCTACCGGATAACCTGGGGGTTGATTCTGACCAGTAGACACAATGTGCTCTAGCTGACGATACAGTAGGGCAGGGCCGATCGTTTCTCGAGTGACAGCGTCGGAAAATCCCATCTCGTATACCTAGGGATGGGATAAGAGATGACGGTTCGGTGCGACAAGGAGAGAGATTTGGAGATGAGGCTACATTGAACATATAAAGCACACCGAATAACGAATCCGTGTTGGAGAGCAGTACGGATGACTCGTCCCTAAACACCAAAACGACCAAATACACCGATTGTACTTACTTGTTGTAGCTTCAGGATTCTTCCGAAAAGACCCAAAATCCCAAAGAAAGTGAAGTCGGATCACGTGATCTAGAACTAATATCACTATATCAATCTTAACCGTATCAAGGTCTCTCAAGAAGGCATTACTGAGAAACAACCAGATAAAGAGCGAGTGTATGTATGCGTATGTAAGTGAGTGGTGAGTGAGTGAGTGAGTGAGTGAGTGAGTGAGTGAGTGAGTGAGTGAGTGAGTGAGTGAGTGAGTGAGTGAGTGAGTGAGTGAGTGAGTGTGAGCTGACGTCCGCTTTCGGATTCACCCTCTTGATGCAGCCTACACTTAAGGGCTTTGGACAGGGGGTGCTCAGAAAGTTATCACAGCAACTACGCCGTGAGTTATAAAAAAAGGTTGCATTCAAAACCTATTCAAGGGGGAGGAAACCCTCCGACGACAGCATAAACATCGGAGTCCCCAGGATACAACTGAATTCACAGTGAGACTACTACAACCGAAAGGAATCTTGATAGCCCACAAGTCAATCCCTACATTGAGAAAACAGATCTCGAAGGCGAAGAACAAGACCGAGTATAACGAATTAACTGAAAGGATTGCAAAAGACATGACATCTTATCCCCATACATGAGGATCAATGAGGTCAGTTTTGACCTACAAAGCATGATCATCGTATCCCTCGGAAGTGCAAAATACAGGAGAGAATTACTCAAAGCAGGGAAGTCCGCAAAGGATCAGCAATGCTGAAGTACGTCGAATGGTATTCGGGAGAAATAACTCGCCCTCGATAGATGAACTGATCACACAGCACAGGTTGCGCTGGCTTGGCCACGTGCTGCGTATGCCAGTCGACCGACTTCCTCGAAGGGCTCTTTTCGCACAACCACGTGAAGGGTAAAAGAGAGCCAAAGGCGGTCAAACAATGACTTGGTAGCGAAGTTTGAAAGCCATTACCAACAAACTCAGCTGCGCTGGTCATTGCCCTTTTCCTGGATGGGGACCCCGAAACGGTTCACATCAATGGTTGGAGACATTGTCAGACATGGCCCAGTCGCCTCCTCAATGGCGCTCGTGCATCCAAGCTGTCGCCTTCAATGCATAGCTCCCTTCCCAATCCCCCAACTTGACAGCTCACTGACAGTGCTGGATTTATGCATCAATTTATCACCTCCCGCCTGCAATGCGCAGCTATCTACCCCCCGCCCCCCTAAATCATCAGGGAACGGAACTGCGGCAGCTACAACCACTGTACGACGAGTACGCAGTTATTAGGGCTGACAATGATGATGATTAGCTGGATTACTTTGTCTACGAAGAAAGCAACTTCAGCAACGATCTAAATCAACAAACCGATGAACTGGCCACAAGAAACAAGACCAGCAAAACACGCAGGTTTAGGACGTATTCTGGTAAGCCAGTACAAGAATAATGAGTCAGTGAGTCAGTTCCAGCTACAAACCGTGCACCGAAATACAGTGGCACAGTTGCTCAAGTTCAGTTCATGGATGACAAAGAGAATCATGGAAACAGAGATGTGTTGGAAGTGGCAACGTCACTTAGCGATGAAGATAAGTGGCTCTGTGTGTGCAGTATGGCGGGGAATGGGAGGATTACAAAGTGAAGGTGAAGCAGTGAGCGCGGCATGGCCGACTGATTAGATCTTTCATGTTCAACTGCCAAGTCATGGACTGACTGGGTCATCTCCATCCGATACATGGCTGGGCAAAAAGGAGTGAATGATATATCCAACATAACCTGCGAAAACGTGATCAAGGGCTACCTTTTCTGAAAACCATTCGGCGTACATCACTAATCTGATATTCCCACTAGACCCGTGGAACGATTCGGACGCAAGCAAAGCAGCAAACACAGTCTTTGAAGATCTGTGCAGAGCGGCCACGGTCTTTACAAATACTTTAATCTGACGACTACCTGTGAAAGGCGACAAGTTGTTGCAAAGCGTAGTCCAATTTGCTTGCTTGTGCTTCCCAAGATGTTCGCCATGAGATTCCGAATGTCCGCATTAAGGTATCTTGCGAACACAATATCAGATTGACCATACATATATCTTGACCTTATACTATCACGAGTTCTGCGAATCAGTCGCGGTTGGTAACGGAGTTCGGATACACTCCAGGGTTGAAGGGGTTCCGATCCACTTGTCAATGAATTTACCTGCCAAACTGTTGGATTAGCATGGCCGTCCCATAGGAGATTGGTCTACCCTGATGCGTATATGCCTTTCAACCATTTCAAACATATGTTTTGCCGTCAGACTAGCCGTGAGTTCAAATGCAACACTAGATGACTTACCCTTTTGACCTGCCTACTGGTGTAACGGTGGATACTACTGATGAGGCATGCGAGTAGTATGTTTTCTCGTAAATCCGCTTCGTGTCTGTTGAAAAGTGAGATTTATTACGGGATTCATGGAATTGCTTTGTAGCATTCGATTACATTTGAGTGACAGTCAGTGAGTATCCAGAATAGTCCGGGAAGACAGTTCGAGAACATGGATATTCAGTTTTTATGAACACGATGCATATGAGAGTTTTGCTTTCTTGTTCAACAGTCTGTAACTGTTCAGTTGGTGTTTTCCAATAAATAACTCTGCAGCGGAGGCCTCCTTCTTTTCATCAGTAGTTTGAATTACTTGCACAGGAAAGGTCACTGATGCCTGACCTTATCAAGCTAGCAATTTTTGGTTAGATTCAATGGTACGTGGACTTCAGAGAGGTAATGGTGGAAGTATCCAGTAATGAACGGGAGTGAATAGTCCTGTGATCGAACAGTAAAAGGGGCCAAAAACTGTGCACTAAGGGGTTTCGGCGCAATTAGAAGTGCTGTTGAAGAAGCGACACTCATTGGTGGGACAAACTTCACTTTTGTGCACAAGCAACTTGTACCAACTCGTCTTCGGCTAGTTTGCTAAACTGAACGGTTAAATTTCAACGAATAAACCAACCAATGGGCATTTACTGCATCCTAGATTAGTACTAAATTAGTACCACCATCAAAGGACGGTCAGTCAGTTACGCAGCCAAAAACGAGCTTGCTATAGCTCAGTGGCCAGCTAGCAAAACCCCTGATGGGAAGATGCGTGTTTCGAATCCGACATGGACATATGGACCGCTCCTGTCTGGGTTTGTACAACTTGGCCGTACCACATTTCGAATGCATCCTTCAAGTTGCATGGCAGACACCCACCGAAAAAGTATCTCAGTCGGGCAATTCACCAACTGTATTCCCAGGTAGGCCAATTATTGTTCCTACAATGTTGTTCACCGGGAATAGGGAGATCAGTTGAATGACAGCCATAAAAGGTAAAGGGCGGCTAATCTGTTCGTTGGAGTGATGAAGAATGGAGTGAGAGAACCACATAGTAAAGACAACAGCTTGGACGCTACAGGCACCTCAATCAAACCCGCTTCTTCAGCCTGATCACGGGATAATAGTTCAAAGCCGCATACCTCGTTCACCGAACTCCTCTCATAATGACACTTAACTGACCGACAACTGATTCTAACCGGAACAGATTCCCTCGAGGTAATTTCTACGTTGAGACAAGTAGAGAGTACGCGTTTGTTCTCCGAAAAAAAAAAAAGAACTCGGTCACTGCTTTCATTTAGAGGCAAGTCCTGTCAAAATACCAGCAAGCGCGGGAGATTACTTATTCATCATTGCAGATATTTAGATAGTTTGGATATTTCTAGATATACGCTCAAATAGAAGACCGCAATGAATTTATCGTAAAACCATTGGACACGGCGGGGCGCATGGATACAGGAAATTGGATTATTGATTTCTCAATCAAACACACAGGTACGTCTGCTTTGCAAAAACTAGTAAACTGTGGATATCGAAACCACGTCACATCTATATTATGTTTACTAACATGTTTGTGCAACAAGCGCTTCATCTCAAATGAATTACGTCCGTGGACTTGAAACAACCAGCCCAACTTGGCTGCTTGCCCCACCCGATCATTATTGTCAATCTAAAGACAAGACCCTCTGTAGAGGAGAATCTTACTGACTGAAGAAAATCTTCTGAAACTACAAGGAACCCCCTATCAGGGAAGACGGCAAATTCACCAAGCGTTTTTTCCGGTTCAAGTAAATTGAGGGAGCTCGTACCCCAGGTGTGTTTCCGATACGTACATCCACCATGAACGGCTGAGAAAAATACCATTTTGCACATTCCAGAGAGATGGCTTTCCCCTGTATGGTTTTGAAATATATCGTGATCACATGAATGTAACATATTCATAAGGTTGCTGAGAGCTCATCGACCGCCTCATGTTTCAGCAGCTACAATATAAAGTTGCTGAAAATCCGTCGACAGCCCACGACCGGTTTTGCCCTTTTTGGGGCTCAGCAGGTAGGCGTAGTCCCCGGGTTTCCATCGACTTTACGTTCTACTTGAAACTAAATTGCATGAAATTAGCGAATATACACTCATTTGCAAACTAATTTGGTTTTTCGAGAGACTCACCTAGAACCCAGCTGAATCTCTCGTTTGTGATGTTCTTTTCGTTCTTTCTCGATGAACGAAGGTGGAAATTTGCTTTCGGTGATGCTGGAGCAGTGACAAAACGACATGCTGGCCTAGGAAACTTTCGAACCTCAGCATCCGAAAGTAGGCACATTTCGCCCACACGATGATAGCCGTGTAAATAGGTTGAAGTCGTTCTTTTCCTTAGCCCTAACAGTTGACAATAGGCGGTACAGTGGGACTGGAATCGCTTCAGGTTGCGAAATCCATGTATTTGGCACGAACGCTGAGAAACTAGCTATGATTCATCGTGTATAGGTTTCTCTAGTTAACTTCGTGTATTGTAACCGCCACTGTATTTTTCCGCGGTTCGCTTTCTTAGAGGTGCGGTATCTTAATGGTCCGAGAGCCTACGGACGATGAACGACGGAGATGGAAGAAAAATAACTATTTTGACACCTCTACCTCGGGTAAAGGAATATAGATGGGACGATGAAACTGCGTGGTAAAAGGTGCATTCAGAGTGAGGAGTTCACCTAATAAATGCTTATGTGGCGACTAGGATATTTCCTCAAATACACACCAGCAAGTGTACCGGCAATTTGTGAACTGGTGTAAAACCTGTCGCAGCATTCACGCGATGTCCCGTGTTCAGAAAATCGGCGATGTCCTGTGTCCAGAACACCGGCTACACTCAAACTGTTACAGCACAAATGAGTCTCGTCTGAAAACCAGATCTGGTCCAGTCACGTGAGTGTAGAAACTCCACGGACTTGGCGAGCAGGAGCGATCCATACAGGCACTAGCATACATCCAGCCGATAGAATCACGTGAACGTCATAGCCTATCTCAGTGGTTCGATCAATGATGAATTGACCTTTCACCATTGAATTTCGTAGCGTAGACCACGTGACATCCCATTCACATCATTCTGCCGTATGTACATACTTGGACCTGAGGAATGCATATCGAAAAAATTCTCCACCGGATTCGCGTTATTCTGAACCAGACCATTGGGTTTTCTAAACGGCCCAAATTCGAAACACTGTCATCTTTACCAACCTGACAAAAGAAATACGTTACAATTTGTTGACATTGCTAGCTCTACTCATAAGGTTGCTGAAAACTCTCATAACCCACGAGCGGTCTCGTCCTTCTCGGGGCTCATCTGGCAGATGCAGTCACCCATTTCCCGTCAGCTTGGAACCAAACTGAACGCCGTTCGCAAACGGATTGCGTTTTAACAGGAAAATCGACTAAATCTCAACTGACCGCACAGTTGACCAGAATCCTCTAATGAATAATCTGCACAAAAGCCCCCTCATGTTCCAGACACCGCCCTATGTTTCCATAACTCGTCGACCGTCCACGGCTGGTTTCGCTGTCCGTAAGGATAATCACGTGAGCACCATCACGAGTTTCGGCCATGTTCTAGTTGAAAGCGAATTGGATGCAAAATCACGAAATTTGAGAAAAGCCACGCCGATCCAGGATGATTCATTGAGGTTCGCAGCGCAGTCAAAAATCAAACAAACCGGCTCATTCAGGCAACAAGAAAGCGAATGTGACCACGTGAATACCAGCATGAAACACAAGCTCACTTTAAAGCGTGTTTATATTGCAGTCTAATCACGCCCGATATCGAAAGCCAGAGAATTTGTCATGAACAAACATCAATTCAAGCTGCCTAAACTGCCTAACACGTGAATTGTCAGTAAGCTCTTCTGCAGCTGTGGCAGCACAGACAGATATCTGCCGGAAAGCGCCACAGAATTGCTACAAGAGGTGAAGGACAGGCCAAATAATGGACGTGGTGGCTAATCAGTTCTTTGAGGCTATATTGATCTCTTTGACTGATTAATCATGAAGCAATAGAGAGAGAGATGAACTGAGAACAACAGCTCTAAAGCTTGATGCTTTCTTCAGCTTTACCACAGAAATTTTACCACATTGAAAAGATACGTTGTAAAGTGAGTAACCCAGATGATGTCATAACGAACGTTGATTTGGCACCGATTTGTTGCATTGAGTAGATCAACCAATCACCGTCGGCTCAACATCACTTCTACTCTATATACTGTGTAAGCCAGATATTCTGTGTTCACTCCTGACGAGGGTGAAAGCAATGTCAGTAACCCAGAGCACACGTCTCCTACCAGTTCTAATCAGCTGATCTGTCAATACTCAGCAGTGCCAGGAACCGAGTTACTTTAACTTTAATCCAAATAATGAACAGATTAATTCAGAAAGTTGTCTTCTCGCAGTGAGCCATGACTGGTTAAGTTGAGAGTGATGCTCATTCCCCTTCACTCAGTGACTTACTTTCCTTACATCAAGGGATAATAATGGATTAGTTAAGGTTATCTAGTTGCAGATACCGAAAAAACCGCTCAGGTGTAACACCCATGCCACCCGAAGGAAGCACGAAGGCTGGGATATTGTCAGGTTGCCTTAGCCTAAACAGAGAGGTAGAGGTCGGGTTCAAACAACGGAACTTCCGCTCAGCGAATTAGCGCTCTAACCACTGAGCCATCTCGCCCTTGCGGACACCAGTATAAAGGTTTCAAACTCAGGAAGACCCAGGAAGACTCAGGTCCTTAATAGGTGCCGAGTCCTTTCCTAGGAACATAAGCGGATGACTTGGTACGACTACTGGTCACCCGACAACCTAGAAAAGAGAGATCATTCTAGAGCACGATTACTGTTCACCCAGTGGTACTTATTCAAACAGTGACGTCAAAACCCAACGGAGCGCCACAGACCGCAACCTGAAAATATATGAGTTTCAAAGGCCAATGGTTGATACAATGTAAAAATGTATTACCATTTGGTAAAGCAGGATTCGCTCTACAAGTTTTCTACAAAAAGCAGTACTTAATGTAGCTCCTATTGGGGACTTGGGTTATTATCCAGCGGGAAATTCTTAAATTGTCCACCAATGACAGCAGTACACCAGTAATAAATACTGGTGCTTCACTGCCATGAAAACAAAAAAGAACAAAGGCTTAGTAAGAAAAAATGGGTCAGGTTAAGGCCTATTTCCATAAAGGAAACGATCAGCAGCCAGCATTAGAATTAACAAATCTAAGAATCACGCCGTCATCAACAAAATTGTCATAGCGCCCTTTGTGGGCCTCCCAAGAAATGAACCCAGCGCAAATTGAAGGGAAAACTTTAGCAAGAAAAAAACGACAGTACATGCTGGAATCGTTAGCTTGCGAGACCCAATCACGTGGGCGCCAGTCAGGAAGCCGCAAAGATCCCACAACACTCGGTTTCATTGTAGTCGCTTTTGTTTTCCCGCTATCCACGAGAGCCTTTCGCTAACAGTTGACTGAACAGAAAAAAACTTTCTTGGGTAGATGGTGGTTGGTCGTATACGGATGGCACGGGTGGTTTGAGTCAGCCTTGTTGCTCAATATGGGTGGGGAGGTTACCTCATTTTCTGATTCCTGTAAGATACTTACCCGCGAGGGGGAGGTGTAGAGACTTAGTCGTCAGTATGCGCGATTAACAGTATGCATGAGTCAATTGCGACTCTAACTGTCACTTCGGGTCTTGCACTCAACGCGCATATTCCACGGAATAAGATTTACCCCAACAACATTGGCTCACTGCCATTTCGACCGTACAACGACACTGGAGTCGTCCATGTGGCTCAGTCGACGCAATTTTCATCCACGGTGAAGCCGCTGGGAGGTTAGTCGATGGCCAGAAGCATACAACAGCCACGTATAGTGGTAGTGTATTGCTTCTATACATGCATCGCGATATCTCGAATATCATACCAACTGAAACATGAAACGGCCTGATATAGCACATTCAGTTGCTTGAAAACGTCACAAATGAGAGATTCAACTAGGTTCCAGGTGAGTCTCCCCCAAAACCAAATTTATTTTCAAATGAGTGCATTTCGCTAAGTTCGTGTAAGTTGACGGAAACTCGGGGACTGTGCCTACCTGATAAGCTCCAAGGGCTGGAGACGTTCCAAGAAATGGCGGCCAATCGATGTCAGTTTCTTTCCAGATTGTCTGATTGAGCGATTGGAGGTGTAGGCACCTCAGAATGCTTGACATAGGTCAGCACTAGGTCTCCTCCTTCATCCACTCTTTTTCTCTTCTTTTCACCCTAGGGCTTATATATATATATATATATAATGATGAGAACCAATGTGGTCATAGGATGCGCTAAATTCTCCCTGACAAGCAGATTTTCGTGATGCAACAAAACAGGCAAGTCGTTGACTTCCGTTAGAGACTACCATGTTTGCAAACACGTTTGAAGAAAAATCGAGGAAACTCACTCGATTCCGATAGATGACACAAATGTGATTTACGCTTCTGGTAGTGAAGGGACTACCCAGACGAGCTCGCATTCGATCGTACGGGCTACCCGGAATTCGACAGTTTCCCAGTACGGCGTAGTACTGCTCCATACACATGGCACAGCCATCAGGAAAGTATTCCGTGTCCAGCGAGTTTCCTTCGAGTTGTGCCTGCGTAAGCAAGGTTAGAACAGATTGGTCATAAATCGAAACACAGTAGTGGACTGTACAAAACTGGGGAAAAGTTTGGGGGATCCAACTTCAGTAAATTGAAGATTACGTACAGCACTTCCACAACAGAGAACAAGCTGCATAGGGGAAATGATGACCGATCGATAGAAAGTAACACTGGAAAGAAGTGCGTGGGATGATTATACGGTTATTCGATATTCGCGATGAACCAGTGAATTTATGGGATGAATATGTGATTTTCCGAGCCCAAATAAATAAAAGCGGAAACCCGGGGACTGCGCCTACCTGATGTGCCCCAAAAAGGCGAAACCGGGTCGTCGGCTGTCGACGGATTTTCAGCAACCTTAGGAGTAGTACATTACAAAGACATACATGTATCGCGATACTTCGAATATCGTAGCGACTGAAACATGAGGCGGTCTGGTGCAGCACATTTGCCTGAGAACATCACAAACGAGAGATTCAGCTGGGTTGCAGGTGAGTTCCTCGAAAAACCAAATTAGTTTGCAAATGAGTGTATATTCGCTAAAAACGGAAAGACATTTGAAGTATTTGATTTCCCCACTGAACATACTGCCTACAAATGCGATTTCTATTTGTGTGCTTCCCATTACACCAAAGCAAATATGTTCTCTACCGTTTTAGCAAACTACATTCAAGTGGTACGTCACTTATTTCTTCACTGGGTGCAGCCGAAGTAACTGGTTTAGCAGCAGAATTCTTTGGTTTTAACGATATGTTTCATGTTAGAAATTAGAGCGGCCGATAGAAATCATGGTATTCTGGCGCTGTCTACATGGTGCTCGACCATTTTTTATGTTGGCACTGCTCATCAACTGTGGCGAATGAGTTTCCCATGCATGTGAGAAGATAAGTAAGACCATACAACTCACACTAACATCTTTTGCGGCGAATGAACTAGAAAGCCCCCCTGTACTTGAAGGCAAAGCTGGCGAAAAATAATAGCAATGCTATCAAATCATATCCACTAATCAAACTTTAAAAATGGTTCAGCTTTATCACTCTTCCGGTGCCTAGATGCCATGCTTCCAGCACGAGGGGTGAGATACTGTAAAGTTATCCAAACCAATATAGGAATAGTCAAGATGCAGAGGTTGGGTTCGAATCACGGACTTCCAGGTTAGTAATTCCGCACCTTAAACACTGAGCCACCTAAAGTTAAAACTTTGGGTTCAAAATTGCTGGGATTCGGCGCGCGGTGCGTGCTCTCAATAAGTCGAACGGAAACAGAAGAACCGCTTGGAATGGAGATGAAATACATTCTGATTCATTCAGTTAAACTGCAACAATCGAAACATCCTACTCCTGCTAGTATGGTTGAATCCATACAGCATTATCGCAGTTATGACAGACATCAGCAGTGAAAGGTTTCGCAGCCGTAAAGCCATAAAATGCATTCAGTGAATTTTGAAACCCTGTCCGCAGCAAAGCCAGTCTTGTAATAGATAACTTTTCGGCGGAGGCAGGCTGACAGACAGAAGCTCAAGCATCGTGTACAGCTTTAGACATTTCGTTCTAGTGACACGGAACATTCGGAAGCTAGTCAGTAGACTGGAGCTAGAGCAGGTGAGTTTGATATACTCGTTAGGGGTTCATGAGTTTCTCAAAATCCAAGTGAAGTCTGTGCATTCCGCGTAGACCTGGAAATAGCAATGAAAAACAGCAACGGACAGGTGCATAGTCAGAGCGCAAACAACGATTCCAGAAGCGGCAAGCGGTGATCGCCATCAGTGACTGGTAGTAATGGGGTTTATTTGGGTCCGGACTGGTCCTTTGGTTGGTACCATGAAACCGAATTATTTCTGATGAAAAGAAACCCCATGTGGTTAACACGTCTGTAGTAGCGCTCCTCCGTTATGAGCGCATTTCATGTGTATCCCACGATGACTACCCAGCCGTGCCTCAGCAGCGCGTTCACGTCACCAGCGGCCATAATGATATCCAGACCTTTGACTTTTAGTCAAATAATACCTACTGTGTTATAGAAAGTGTCTTTGGCAGGGTCAGAGCCAGTCTGCTGAGCCGTTAGCAGATACAATACACATGGAGCTTTCCTAGGTTGCTTCACGATGATGATAAATGAACCGTGAAGAGAAGAATATTAGCGCGTATTCAGTAGAGTAGAGATGTTTCCGCTCGACAGTTAAACATGACAGAGTTCACGGCATATCCAATCCCAAAGGACGATTCGTTACTAGGGGTGCGGAATCGGGAGCCAGAAAAGAGTAGGGGGGAGTAGTGAGTTCAAATACAGTAATTGTGATCTTGGTTCGCGTTTCCGATAGACATCAATAGAAAAGGGAACGCAGTGTGTGCGTTCGGCCGGTACCATGGATCTGGCCGCATGTGAAATGGCCCTCTGGCTGCTGTTGGGGAATACATGCGAGATTACTGCACCAACGCCATAATACGAAACATCTGACGCCAGTAACGATTTTCAGCATCGATTCGCAGTGGGTGAAAAGCAAATCGGAGTTCTACGTGAGTCTGACAGAGTCAAAGGGGCGTTGGTATCCGTCTGACCATATCCATTTGTGATGCTCGGTGAATAAGTGGTTTACTGAGCTTCGAAGTCTGGGCATGCCCGGCAGGAACTGACTGCAGTGGTTGATAAGATCGACGGATTTCATGACTATAGGCGGTGGTATGCGTTTGATGCCCTCAGTGTTCTCGTGATGAGATTGGCGGCCACGTTCATCAATGAGGAAACCGCATGGAAGTGCACTTTTCTTGCGGTACTCTGGAGCTATATTTTCCAACAAGACCGAGCAGTCAATCGAAGTGCAACCATAGCTCGACAGTTTTGGAAACCATGACGACGAGGTCTTCCAAATAGGCGAAAAAACGCGGGGCATTTTCAGCATTGTATCCATGGTTTCTTGAAATAAAGCCGCTGCTCTCTTGACACCAAACAGCAATCGAGTATACTGGAAAAGACCGCGGTGGGCACTGATGCCTCTCTCGGGATTCCTTCGCGACTTGCACTTGCAGGCACGTCACAGTCAAACCGATCTTCGCAAAACACTTGCCTTGGTTCAGCTTCGCGAACAAGGCGTCGGAAGAAGTGTAGGATACAAAACATGCACCCTTAAAATTCAAGAAGCGCTGGAGGTAGTGGAGAATTTTACACATCTCCATCGTTGTATAAGCTCTGGCGGAAGTGCACCTCGTAGTCAATGCATGAATCTCAAAGGCTCGAATCATGCTTGCTACTTTGTCACTTGTGGTGTCAAAAGGCATCCCACTGAACCCCAAGGGTGGTGCGTACCGGGCTACAGTGAAACAGTGTTGTTGTATGGTTGCGAGACGTGGCCTTTGCAGATAGATGATGTGAGGCATCTTAAGGTTTTTGACCACCGATACCTCAGAAGCGTCGCTGGTGCTGGATTGCTCCAATGAACTGGTAACGAGGTAACAAACAAACGAGTGTCCGGTTGTGCAGTAGATATCAGTAGCGGAAAACATCCAGCACCTTCAGCTGTAGTGGCTGGGTCACGAGCTACACATGCTGAAAAGCCGACTACCGAGACGAGTGCTGTTTTTTGTGTGAATTTCAGAATGGCGCAAACCGCGAGTTAGACAACGTATGACTGGGCAGAAAGGTGCGGAGACTAGGTTTGGGTGTTATTGGTGGCGTTCACCTTCCAGTATCGAGTCCTTGTATCCCCCTCGCGCTTGTGTTTAGCTGGAGACATTGCATGAAATGACAACTGATCGGTGTCAGTGCTGTTTGTGTTGTCGGTCTCTTTATAGATAGTCTGACTGAGCGTTTGGAGAAGTGGGCACTTCAGAATGACCGCGATGGGCAAGTACCAGGCCCCTGATCCGCCTACTCTCTTCTTTTCACTTAAGGGCTTTAAAGTCGTTCGGCTGCAGCATCCTTTCAGTGCCTAACTGCCAAGCCACCCGAAGGACGCACGAGGGCTGGGATAATGTCAGGTCGCCCCAGGGGAAGTCGAGAGGTAGAGGTCGGGTTCGAACCACGGACCTTCCGGTCAGTAAATTCGTGCTCTAACAACTTCTGCCTTCTCGCTCCCACTTTAAGGCTTTAAGTATACGTGAATGAGCAGTGAAGCATCACCGTCACTGTCAACACTGACGATGGTGCCTTTGACGATGATGTAGTATTGTGACCAGTGGAAAAATCTTCACAAAAGCGAATGGCTCCATTAGCCTTTTTGACTGTCACAATCGGTATGGTCCATATCCAGCAGTTAATAGGTTGTATTCGGTCTAGTTCCTAGTCAGGGTTGCAAGTCCAGATCTGAAAACTAGTCTGGCACTGAATAGGCCAAGTCAGGCTTTAACCTTTGTGCACCATCCAAATCCTTCGGCGAATACGGGTGAATAGTATTGCAGGATTAACGCTTCGAAACGTGAGTTGATGCAAGTTTACCTCTAGGTGATTCGCGAAAGAAGGCTGCAAAAGGGACTGATGGGCTTTTGTAATAAATTCAGGCTGTCAATCCGATCCAACACGATCCGAAAAAGCTTGAGGGATGTAATCATGTGGCAAGTGGCCTGGGCCGCCGAGCCCCCGAAGCTTATTGAGCAACCGGCTTCGCCAATCGATTTTAGTCGGCCCCAGAAGCATTGTAGGCCCAACGTTTAATCGGCCTTGAGTTTTGCCGATCCAACACGATCCGAAAAAGCTTGAGGGATGTAATCATGTGGCAAGTGGCCTGGGCCGCCGAGCCCCCGAAGCTTATTGAGCAACCGGCTTCGCCAATCGATTTTAGTCGGCCCCAGAAGCATTGTAGGCCCAACGTTTAATCGGCCTCACATGAGTTTTGCCAATTCATTTAGATGTTCGATTAGTCAGCAGGGTCATGTCAGAACACGTATCAAGCTGGGAACGAACTGATAAGTTGTCAACACGCACCGACGTAAACTTCATCCAGCAAGCAAAAACAACTTTGAATGCTGCCATCACTGAGTTGGACGGCGACTAAAGAGCT